ACCCTATTTGGTATCAAAGAGAGTGAAAAGAAAAATTGCTCACATACCCAGTCGAGCATGACCCCTTTGTGGGTGCTCCCACGGCCAAAGTCGACTGCCTTTTGGCCGGTGATGAGCTCGAGCAACAAAATCCCAAACCCAAACACATCGGTTTTTTCAGAGGACTGGCCAGTGGAGAGGTACTCAGGCGCAATGTGGCCCACGGTACCTCTCACTGCGGTGGTGACGTGGGATTCATGGTGGTCGAGCAGCTTCGCCAGCCCAAAGTCCCCAACTACTGCCTCAAAATCCTCATCCAATAAAATATTTGCTGCCTTTACGTCCCGGTGAATGATTTTCGGGTCACACTGCTCGTGAAGGTAAACGAGCCCACGGGCAGTGCCCACTGCTATTCTCTTGCGCCGACACCAATTCAGCACTGCCCGCCCGTGAATCTGATCTGTACAGTACATCGAAATTTTAATATTTTATTAATTAGTGTCTTTATTTATTTTTTTGACATAAATAAATTCAAGATAAATAAGATATTTAATTTAATAAAGTAAAAGTTTTATGTTTGAATAAATTGTAATTTTAGTCATGTATGTTTCACTACCTTAACTTTTTCGTCCTCTTCGAATTGCGTTTTTTATTTTCATCACGTATGTTTGCAAAAAGGTTATAAAAAGGTTTCGCAACAAAAAGTTCCTTTATGTTTTGCAAAAAAAGGTTCCAATTTCGTCCCTTATGTATGAAAAGGACCATTTTGTAACTTTTTTTGCAAACATACGGGACGAAATAAAAAAAGGCAGTTCGAAGAGGACGAAAAAGTTAGGGTAGTGAAACATACAGGACTAAAATTGTAATTTACTCTATGTTTTTTCATAAAATTTATTGTTACAAACTTGGCACGCCCAATAGAGTTTCTTTCTCTTCATTNAAAAAAATCTCCCACCTTTGAGTCGAGAAGCCACGCTGCCATTGGACATGTAAGGATAAATAAGGAGCCTCTCGTTCTCAGTCGAGCAGAAACCCCAGAGCTTGAGTAGATTCCTGTGGACAGCTAAGCTGATGAGCTCGACTTCGGTCTGGAACTGGATTTCGCCACCTGCGGCATTGTAGTCTTTTAAGCGTTTAACGGCCACTAAAGTCCCGTTGTTCAACCGGCCTTTGTACACGACCCCAAATCCTCCCTTCCCTAATATGTTCTTCGAGTTGAAATGATCGGTTGCAACTCGGAGTTCCTTAAAGCTGTACCTTCTTAAGTGGCCTAAGCGTACCTCAGGATCATATTGCTCTGCCAAAATCAAATGCCGTTTTTTCATAATGCAAAAAAAATTAAACTGACTTCATAAACTAATCGGTAGAGCTTCCTGTATGTTACATTTTTTAATTCATTACCGACCACGTATGACTTTTCAATTGAATCCAGAAAGTAAAAAATAAAGGTGACTCAAGAATGGTTCATCAATCCCCTTATAACTACTTTAAAAAATGGTGGGAGTTGAAAACTGGTGTAAAAATAAGAAGCTACATTCACATGCTCATAAAAAAACAAGAAGATTAATGGACCAGTTGAGATTTCAAAACTACTGCACAATTAAATGAAACTCAAAAGTCTCCTTTTTTGCAAAGTTGTTCATAAATTCATAGATAAAAAGAAAATAATATACACAGAGAGTGGAGAATGTCCGGAGCCATATTGTACATCACAATTAAAATTCCCGTGAACTCACCATTAACATCGAAAAAAATCTGTTGATTGCGCTTGTACCGCCACCAGAAGAGCAAACCAACAACGAGCACAAATGAAAAGACACCACCAAAGCTTGCCCCAAAGACAATAGCAAGGTGATGTTTTGCCCCGGAGTCAGATTTATCTGCAAAAAACAAATAGTTTAATTAGACATGACAGTCGAGATCAAAGATTAATCAACTGCTTGAGAACTGTACTTACCTTTAACGGCGTCCGGCGGGAAGGACAACGGCTCTGGATAGACAATGGAACAATTGTTTTGAGACGTGTGCCCGCAAATTAGAGGATTACCAACTATTCTGAAANTTGGGAATTGGTTGGTCATATTTATAAGAACAGGTTGAAAAAGTCAATGGGTGGGTGAGCAACAAATTAGTCTTATAAGAAATTATACGTTTGTCAAACTGAAGCAAAAGTACAAACTTGATTTTGAAAACACTGAAAACCACGTTCCTAAGTTCTGATTCAACTTGTTTCTGTTTTTCTAAGGTAGTTGCAAAGATCCCTTGTTATTGTAAATACAGCAAGACAACTCACTTGAAAGTTCTAGCAGAAAGTCTTGGCAACGGACCACTGAAGTTATTGAACGAAAGATCCCTGCAAAGGAAACAATAAACTACAAATCTTAAAACAAAACAGAGTCAAACGAACGTGTTCCTTCTAGAATATTCTAAAACCCAAGCGCGAATAAGGGAACAAAAAATGACATACACAAGGGTGAGACTTTGAATATTGGAAAGAGAGTCAGGAATGGATCCACTAAGGCTGTTGTTGTTGAGCCGCCTGTCTTGCAAATAGCAAAAGCCAAAACTTGACTCAGTCTAAGGGAAGTCAAAGTAAAATGATATTTATTTTATCAAGTTCCCACTGACAGAAGTCTCAAACTCACAAATAATTCAAGTTAGTGAGATCCCCCAAAGAACTTGGCAGTTCACCAGTATGCATGTTGTTAGAGAGATCGAGTGTCTTTAGCTTTTGAAGCTTGCCAATGACAGCTGGAATAGGACCACTAATTTCATTGTTTTGCAGCAACCTACATTAGACAAGGAAGTATATCAAAGTTCGAATTTAGATTAGTAATTCAAGTTTAAAGCAAATGTACATAGAACTACATGACCTACCGAGGGGGCTTAGCTTGGCTACAAAAGGCCTTAGTTCAGTTTCAAAAATTACAGAATATCCCCTTGAAGAGTTAAAACACTCCTAATTTGGTGTTTGACAAACAAATGCCTCCACCTGAGGGTGTTATTTGAGAAAGAGAAATAAATCTCACAAGGATATGTTTAATATAGTCGTAATTACATTGAAAATTGGGAGTAATCTTCATAAAAAGACAACAAATTACAGTTGGGCAAGGAAACAATTCTTACACCATGCATTTCATGTTGACTTGGTTGTAACAGATAAAAGCTTTTGCCAAAAACTTGATTTTCCGCTTATAGTTTTAGAAAGTAAACCATTTACTCATTCTCATTTTCTCTCACCAGCCCACATGCACACAATCTTATAGAAGAACTAATCGTTATTGTGCATGTTTAAGAGAATTTGACTGTTGTCGCACTCCCACATTTATCACTACAAAATATTCAATCATTATTTTATTATATCAATATCATATGAATTTTCATCAGTACATTTTCATATTGCATTGTAGCAAATTGTCAATTTCAATCATTTTTCCCTCAAAAAGTTTTTCATCGGCATTTTCTATCCACACACACACACATACACACAGAGAAGAAAAAGGGAAAAGTGGACAAAATTGGGGAAAAGGAGACTGCATAAAATGTGTGGAGTTGCACGCTATCAAGCTAAACAAGACTAAAACTAATATTGAACAAAAGAATCACACACGTAAACTACTTACACAGATTCCAAGTTGGTGAGATTTACTATTCCAGGTGATAAGGTTCCAGACAAGCTCTGGCTAGGCAGCCCTCTGATAACAAGCAAATTTAGGTTGAGCAACTAGCAAAGATTTGTTGATACGTGTAATAAGAGGATATACTTCATTTTTTCCCAGTAATAGTTTTTGGAGTAAGCACTTACAGAGCAGAAACATAACCATCTAATGAACAAGTGATCATTCTCCAACCACAAGGATCCACAGAATTGGCATCCCAGTTCTCTAGGACATTATAAGGATCATGTAAAGCATTCTTTATCGCGATTAAAGCCACGACTGCAGAGATTTAAGGAAGGAAATCAAGTTTTTTCCTAAATAGATGAAGGTGTAAGAACTAGTCTTTTCTCAGCACAAACATCTAAAAAACAACACTAAATAATAAATTTAGTGGAGCCACTGAAACAGCAAGGGCATGGTCTGGATCCAAAGTAAAAAAGTTAAATGCAACTATCATTTACAATAAATAGCAATAAAGAATGGAAGATTTTTTCCATTTTGTAAAATGAAAAATATGATATTTCATAAATTGAAAGAACAATAAAATCTTAACCTTCATAATTCACACCAGAAGGAGAGAGAGTTGAGTGAGAACCCTCTATCAATATTGCCAAAACCAGCAGTACTATCCTCCAGAGCACACACTTTCGTCTTTCCATACTTAGGTAATTAGACTCGCTCCACCAATTTTCACCTTATCAGAAAAAATTTAATTCCGTTCACAGCACAAGCCATTATTCAAAAAAATTCACAGCCTCCCCACAGGACATAAACCATTTTCAACACCCAACAGCTAAACCCAGAAAAAGTAAAACCAAGAATCAGAATCCCATAAAGCAAATCCACAATTTCACCAAGAATAATGCTTTTTTTCCACTTGTCCCACAAAACTACATCAAATTTATCCCTTCAGCTCCAAACCCACTTGCAGAAGGAAAAGAAGGGGCCCAGATGAAAAAGTTGCTGTCTTGAACCAAAAAACAGAGGCTTGCATAGTAGCACTAAATTGACACAATTTCGGTGTGGATGGGGGGACCAAGAAATGAGTTTTTGATTGTAGGAGCAGGAAAAAAAGACCTGATATTCTGAAAGCCTTGAGATCTGGGAATTTTGTTAAGTATGTGAATTCTGTGTAATTGATCCTAACACAATTCTGTTTGCCTTGGTCTGCAAATCTCTGGCTACAGAGCAGTTATTGAGATTCTTCACGCCAAAGATAAGCATGAAACTCCCACCCCTATCTTAAGCTAGAATTCACACATTCCAATAGGTTATATTTTTACCTACCCAAATAGATAAAAACTGCACAAGGTTCGTAGCATAAAGCCAAAAGGACTCAGGCTCTCAGCTATACAGATGGGGACACAGTGTGATATGTGAATTGAAAACTAAAAAAAAAATGAGTCTTTTTGTACTACAATATTTAAGCATTATTATTATACTCGATTTATTTAATGAATAAATAAATATGCAAAGCTAGTTGTTTTTACGGGGAAGCGAAAATATTGCTTTATATTCAGTGATTTGGACCGAGGGGATATGTGCCTGTGATTGATTCAGAGAGAACAATGCGAAGTCTCAAAGGCCCAAAAAAAAAAAGAAAAAATGAAAATAAAAACGAAAAGGAAAGTTAGGAAACAGCATTTTTTGCAGGTAAAGTTTTTTCAGATCACGTGGTCATTTGTCCCTGTCTTTGTTGGTTTTTGAAGTTTTTCCTTTTCTGTTTCTTTTTTCCTTTTAATTATATTTTTCTTTAGTGAGTTGGTCTGTTAAAGTGCTTGAGCAGACCCGGTCAGGGCCCCAGTTTGCAACTGTGTGAGAGTGGTCATTGATACAGAGGCAAAATTACATTTTTAGTCTTGTTGGTTTAATATTATAGCATTTTTAGTCTTAAAATTTCAATTTTTTGTCTTTTATCATGTAATTTAGTATTTTGCTGCAATTTCAGTCATTTGAGATTTAAACTGCAACAAAATTTAAATTTATAAATTTGAGTCCTATAATTTTAAATTTTATTGCAATTTCAGTCCCAAAAGACTGAAATTGCGTTTAATTTTAAAATTATAGGACCAAAATAGTAAAATGTTCAATTCTTAGGACTAAACACGCCCCTGGATCAAATGAACAAGACTAAAATTATAATTTTGCCTTGATACAAATTAACTCAAAAAAACTAACTCAAAATTTAACTTAACTTTAACTCAATTTAAATATCATTAATATTATCCATATAATTAAATAAAATCAATCAATCATCTTTACACATCACATTAATTATAGTTCACTAATAAAGTGCACGTGAGATGTACAACGTGGTAAATGTTTTTTGGCTGATTAAGTTTAGCAAACAAAAGAAATTAATTAAATGATTAAAAACATCATTGCTTGAACAAAACAAAATGTTGGACAAATAACCTTCTAATGTATTTTTTTTTAAATAACACGATAATGTCCTAATATATATATATATATATATAAAAGGATGTGTTACAACACCAACAAATAATATATATATATATATATATATATATGAAAAATAAGGATGTGTTTGTATATGAAAAAACTCAATTCATACTCAATTTATATTTAAAATCTATCTCAACTTTAATACAACTCAATTATCCTCAATATTATTAATATCTATATACAGTTACTGGCAGAGCAATTAATAAAATGTTTTCGGTTTACCGCTAAAAAACGTTGCAAAATTTTCATCATAAATTCAATCTTTTTTCTTTTTATTTTATTCAACTTCATTTGGTATTGTTTCTCACCCATTTTTTAGTTATTTATGGCAGAAATCATTATAATAATAATAATAATAATAATGTTTTCAACTAAATAAATTGGTTATGATCCCTCAAAATAAAGAAATTACGTTATCCTCAAACTTTTTTCAATCAATACAGTAATTCATATATACTTAAATAATTTATATTTATACTGTTTTATTTTTAGTAATGATTTAAATTTTGAAAATGTAATATGTCTGCTATCTAATTTATAATTTAATATTATATTATAACTATAAATTATAATATTTTATTTACATTTGTGCATATTCACAGAATGATTACTAGTAATTAAATAATATCAATCAATCATTCTTACGCATCACATTAATTTTAGTTTACTATTTATTTTTTCACATAATTTTAACGAACTATCACCTCACACTATTTCGTTCATATTGTTACATCAAATCAACTTTAGTTATTTTATTTTAAATATTATTTTAATACAATTAAAATTTCACTAATAAATAATCATACCACTGTTTTCAAAAGTAACTCTGACTAACAAAAAAACTAATTTTAAGCATATTATTTGCGTACAAACACGATCAAGCACCCTATTTTATTTTATCCCCAACTGCGATTTATTTACGATTTTTTTCTAAACTCAATGTCTACTATATTGCTATTGGTAAATTTTATACTTTATTTTAGAATCAAATCAAATGAATTTATTAGCAAGAAAAACTTTACCACTGATTATATAATATGGAGTTAGAAATGGTTGTCATAATTAAGAGGTTATGAAATCTATACAGATCAAAGCGGAGAATATTGACTTTAGTATAAATAAAAAGTCTATATACCTAATTTATATGTAAATCAAAAGTTCGTATCGAGATGTTTGACAAATGTACATAGATAAATTGGTATCATTTCGGTGGTTAAAAATATTGTTAACTTCTTTTTATATATAATTTTAGAACGCGCTAACCACAGCTTTACATGCTCCATACGTAATGTTATGTGGCAAAATATTATGACTTGTAATATGATTCAGATAATTATTATTTTTTTATACTAAATAACTTAGGTTTGAATTGCTATATAGATAAATACACCAGCACTCCTTTCAACATCCCCAGCTCGAAAGCTGATTATCGGCATTTAGGCCGTGATCCCCACTTTTTATTATTGTTCACTATTTAATACTTAATTATTATTTTATTATAAATTTTATTGGTATATAATGTCATTATTATTTATAAAAGTTACAGAAGTTGTACGTCCTATTTTTCTTTTTATTTTATGTAATGAAAAATATCTAATGAACGTTATTTAATATATTTAAACTATTCCATAAATCTGTTTATTATCTTCCTCAACTACTACGTACCCAGTAGGATAGATAGACAGAGATATTAACTAAGTTATTTTCACATGCTCTTTGTCCGTTTAAGTATAAAATATTATAAGCAGTGTTTTAAATACCGTACCGGTGGTCATACCGGTCTAGCCACCGATATGCGCATTACCGATAATGTCGGTGGTATTACCGGACTAGCAAATATAATGATATATATAAATATACATAAAAATGTATAATAGCAAATGCAAAAAAGTAAAAAAATAAATGACCATATATCATCATTAATTTCAACTTCTCAATGAGATAAAAATAAAACATTTTAACTACCAATTTAAATTTTATTTTTTTAGATTAATAACTTTTTTTTATTTTTTTATTATTGACCGGTATTTTGGACCGGTATTTTCTGGTATTTACTGTATGATTCCTTTACAAACCAGTATAACCGTAAATCCGATATTTTGAGTGTAATAGTACCGTACCAATGGCCGGTATCCGGTATTACCGGCTGGTACGGTACGATTTAAATCATTGGTTATAGGGTTATCATCTATTTTTCACCTATTTTAATCAGCTTTAAGTCTAAAACATAATAGAGTTATAATATATTTTTCACATCTTTTAATCAGCGTTTTTTCTTAGTCAAAACAGTAAATATGAGCACGCTAAAACTAGCTTATAAAATAATTAATATATTATCTCACTAACACATTTATACTAATATAAATTTGATTTGAGTATATATATATATTTCCTTGATATAAAAGAAAACGAGGAGCTGCAAGGTCTGTTGGCTAATCTACTATTGTTAGCTAAGCCGATTCAAGGAGAATACTTTGTGCTTTACATCTCGATAGGTGAAACAGCAATGAGCTCTATATTACTGCGAAAGGAAGGGACAACTCAATTCTCAATTTATTACTTCAGTAGAGTGATGCAAGGTGTCGAGTTGAAGTACTCTGAGATCGAGAAATGTGCATTGGCGGTGGTGGTCACAGTGAGGAAGCTGATGTCTTGTTTTTTGAATCATAAAGTGAAGGTGAGAACGAATATGCCATTAAGAGATACTATTGGTCGGCTTTCAGTTTCATGTCGGCTTGGAAGTGGGCGGTGGAGTTAAGCGAATATTCTATTTTCTATGAGCCTCGAAGGGCGATCAAGGCAAAGGTTCTCGCAGATGTTATTCAAGAAAGGAACTAAGGTCGAGGTTGAATCAGAACGAGATGGATCTGTCTCGAGAGGAGGAGCTGGCCTAGGGATTCTGTTGATCTCTCCAAGAGGGGACAATTTGGAATTTGCAACGAAGTTGGGGTTTCGAGTGTCTAACAATGAAGCATAATAAGAGGCGGTGATCAAGGGGTTCCAGTTGGCTCAGGCAGGAGGAACTCGAGACATCTAGGTACACTCAGATTCCTAATTGGTGGTAGGACAATTTCAAGAAGGTTTCAAGATAAAGGAAGAACAAATGTAGAAGTGTGAGGATGAGTTGAAGAAGTTACAAGGAGAATTCAATGATCATAATGAGCGCTCCCATCCCATTCGCATAGTGAGGCATCAACCTGGTGGGGCCGATGCCGTAAGGATCTGGTAAAAGAAAATTATTGATTGTGGCAGTTGATTACTTCACGAAGTGGGTGGAGGCCAAACCTGTGGCCAAAATCACATAGGACTGTGTCATACATTTTTTATATAGCAATATTTATTGCAGGTTTGGTGTACCAAAGGTGTTGGTGTCAGATAATAGAACTCAATTTAATGCAAGTGGATTCGAGTCTAGTGTGAAGATATGAAAATCGAGCAGCATTTTGCCTTGGTTGCTCATCCACAGGCTAACAGACAGGTCGAGGTCACTAACAGGATTATTCTAGATAGATTGAAGACAAGGCTCAAAAAGGCTTCGGGGGCGTGGGTTGATGAGCTCACATTAGTACCTTGAGCATACAGGACCACCCCGAGGTCCATAACTGGTGAAAACCCTTTCAGTTTAGTCTATGAGATGGAGGCATTGTTATCGATCAAAATGGAGCTGGAGTCCCAAAGAGTGAGTGCATTTCACCGGGAGAAAAATAAAGAGTTGGCTTGTGCAGCTCTAGACACAATCGACGAGCTGAGGGAACAAGCGCAGACCGGGGTTGAGGCCTGTAAACAGAGGATACGCTGCTCATGAAAGGAAGGTCAAGATCCAAAGGTTCCAGGTGGGTGTCATAGTTTGGAAAATGATTGACGTGCTAAAACATGTGAGCAAGTTAGAGTCAAATTGGGAAGGACCTTACCTGGTCGAGAAGGTTCATGCAGAAGGAGCCTATTCATTGAAGAATGTAGAAGGACGATCTTTGCCCAAGTCATGGAATGTTGAAGTATTATGCTTGAAATTTTTTTCCTTTTATGAACATTCGATGTAACTCTGTCTATCTATGAAAATCAATGGAAACATATATGTTGTTATATTTTATTGTGTTATCATACTTGGTGTGCTTTGGTGTGACCTCAGTGGCAGATCACTTCGATATATCAAAAAATCTATCATGATTAAGGTCCTCGGGTTGGGTGATTGCTTGTTTTGAACAATCCTAGTGTTGGGTTGGACAAGTAGTCGAAGAAAAGAATTCACTATGACTAAGGCCCCTGGGTTGGGTGGTCGCTTGTTTTGAACAATCTTAGTGTTCGGTTGAACAAGTGATCGAAGAAAAAAATCAACATAATTAAGGCCATCAGGCTGGACAAGTTTTTTTTTTTTTTTTTGGATTAGTTATTGCTGCATTTTAATATTTGTTTAAAATATGATTTTGAGATCTCCTAATATTAAATTTTTGAAATAATTGATATTCATAAGTCACCTATCTTTACACAATAATGGCTCTTTTCTCATAAATATATTTAATTGAATAAAATTTAAGTTATTGTCACTGTTAGGGAATAATAAAGGTCATATTGAATTTCGGGCAAGTTCTGAGTCAATTCCAAGGAAAAACAAACAAACCGAAGATATTTTTTTATATTGTGAAAGGTGCGAATGCTGAGTTGCGAAAACCCAGAGCCAAGGGTATTTTTGTCGCATTGGAAAAGCTGAATATTCTCTAGCCCAACATATGCTAATAACTGATTTTACTTTTGATTAAGATTATTGGTTTTTGTGATTTTATTCAATTAGATTAGTCTCGAGTCTTGACATGATTAAATCCCAATAACTTCTCCTCATTACTAATTTCACTCACCCACATTATGGTTAATTTTCTGGCGTTTTAGAGTAGGGAAATGGAGCTGCATGTCACTTGCCAGAGTGGGAGTAAAATGTGGTTCTAACATCAATATCCAATCATCTACTCTAATTAGAGTTTATTTACTTTAGAGGTGAGAGTGTTATTTTTTGGATATGGTGGCATGAGAGACTCTAAAAAACTTCTCCAAGTTGTGTGTTTTTTAATTTTACTTGTGATGAGGTGGCATGAGAGACTCAAAAAAATCTAGAGGTCTTTTTACATGCGAAAGTCTTTCTAGACGTGATGACTTATTTTTTTCTCCTATTTACATCTTTTATTTTTAATTAAAATCTATAATAATTAGATATAGAAAAGTCGTGTCTGCTAAAATACCAAAAGCAATAGAATTTTTTTGCATAAATTATATTATAATTTTAATGGTATATATTTTGTGAAAAATAGGTATTAAAATACATAATAAAAGATACTCTTACAAAAAAAATATCGATACAAAAATACCTCATAAATTTCAGTCGTATGATGGGTTGTAACTCTTCAAAAAATAAATCTCGACGTTATACAATATGAACATATGATTTAGTACAATAATAATTTATAGTATTTTGCTCGACCTGCAAGTTTTTTTAATTTTTTAGAACAACAATAGAAAAAAACACGTGTATCATATAGAGACATTTACCACTGGAGAGATATTATTAACATGTCATTATATTCCGTACACGTGGACAGAAGGCCGTCTATTTATTGCGATATAGACAACAACCATTGGAGATGCTTAAAACTAATTTTCGTTTCCACTCATTGAAGTTATATTTTATTCTACATGAAATATAAAAATACAAAATGAAATTTAAATACAACTATAAAATCAAAATTTAAATTACTTAACATAATAAATAATTTTATTGATGTATATGTTGTCAAAATAATATTTAGAAATGAAAATAAATTAAAAGATTCAAATGTGAAGAAAAAAACTATAACCCGATACATGTAGGACAATATTGTTCATATCTTCATAGTAGTGCGGAAACAATGACGGATCTAGAAATTTTATTCGAGGGAGCCCAATTTAAATGTTATAATGAACTTGTAGTTTAAGTCGAAACGCTCATTTCATACAAAAATATATTTACTATAAATATAAATATGGATATATGTACCATCAAATTTTTAAAAACTTAAAATCCGTATCACCCTCAAACTTTTAAGAAAATAAACAAAAAAAAAGAGAGATTTAATGTATTTATAATTTAAATTCAACATATAGTTTATGGGAAAATATGTTTTTTTGTTGAAAAATTAATTTAAATTGAACTTTTGCAGCACGATGCATAGCATTTTTATGAGAGCTTATCAAAGGAACAATTTTTTAAAAAGAAAATAAATAAATTTATAAGTATGTGATTACACAGAAAAAATGTAAGAAAATCAACATTAAAAAATGTAACAATCTAACTAAATACTGGGCTTTATCAATCACTAAATCGATTTACAATTAGTAAATTTTTTAACAAATAAATAATATTATTAATTTAAGTTAAAATATCATAAAAAATAAGTTTTAATTATTAATATATTGTATTTTTTCTTACATTTCTATACATATTTTATAGTATTTTCTTTTATATATATATATATATATATATATTGATTTTACAAAATCGACCCCCTGGGCCCAGTACAAATCCGTCTTTGTGCGAAAATGTAGCGCAACATTGGAGCAAGTTTTTCGCACTAGTTTAAATAAAGTTGCAGTGTAGAGCAGCACTGTAGTTGCTCTTCCAACTGTTAATGTGTATTCTGAAAGCTTGACTTTGCGTAATAAGCACTATTTTTCTATTGAATGAGAATCATGTTTAATTATACAGTCCTAAGTTATGATATTTTATATTTGGATATTGTGGTTCATCACTGATGGACGAATACTTGTAAAACACAAATGATTAGGTTCACAATCTTGATGAAAATGAACAACCCGTCGTGAACGACTATGGTGTTAATTGTACAGTCTGTCTTGACTGTTTGATTGTAAATTGTGTATATTGGACGAATCCTAGAGAGGATACGTTTTTTATATACTGATTGAGTTAGTCTTATAATGTCCCTTATGAGCTCAAGAAAGATTATTATTATTTTGAACCATCGGGTGGATTAAATTTCGATATAATAATGAAAATTGAGTGATAATAGTTTCGACACAAAAAGTCAATGAATTATATTATCAATAATTAAATTACTTAACGAACATTATATTTTACACAAGGAGAGGTAAATCAAGTATGATAGACCCAAGTATTGGATTGCATGAATAAAATTATATAAAAGTATCACAATTCACTCATACACTCATATGCAAATAGACAAGTAGACCGAGTCTCTATTTGAATCAAAATAGACTTAAGGGTAGAATCTCTTTTTATTGTTGTCACATCAGCATGACCCAGTATACTTGTTCTTCAACTGGAGAATATATTTTTTTTAGGCTGAATATATTTTATATGTGGCATGTAAATTTTCTTGAATGAACACAGAGTTGGAATGCTCTAAGAAAAAGGTGTATGCATATTAACGCCCACAAATTAACACAAGGACACTGGAAAAAATGTCTCGGCAACAAAAGAATAAATGTCCACACCCACAAGTTTATATTTGGTCCTTGATAACTTGCATTAATGGGGAATTTGTTGCAGAAGTCGAGAAAGAATACAACAATCTTAAAATCCTCGACAACATAAGTCTAAATTTATTGCAAAGACAACAGATAAAAGAAGCTTGTAAATTAATCAGCATTTGCAACTTCAAGCTGCAGCACTAATGCACTCAATTGCCTGTTTGCAGATTCCAGTCATGGTTGCCTCAGGTCCATATACCTATATATCATATTAGGCTTAGTCAACTGAATTTCTATTACAGAATTGCATTTAATGTGGGTATAAGCGGATACAAATCTCAAGATGCTGCTTAAATTATATCTGGACTGTAAACTTGATTTAGTGACTATTCTTTCATGTTTTAGACATCTTATTTTGTCTCTGAAATTATAAATATTTGCAGCAGATCCAATGGTGCATGGACCGTACATACCTCAATAGGGATGCCGATTTCATCAGCCAGACTTCTCATTTTCTCGAGACCCTTTTGGTAATTTGGACCTCCTCTTCGAACATATAGATGCATTCTAGCGGCCTTGAGCTTCGCCTCCTGTCATACAAACCAGCCTAATTTGGAACTCCCTCCAAATTTTTTAATTTAAGAAATTAAACAAACTAGTAATTTTGGTACCTTTTCTCTTAAAGCTCGAATGATGCCACTGAATGTGGCGGCAACATCCGTAAAGTTTGCTATCCCACCACCAATCACGAGGGCACGTTTTCGGCCATCAGGATCCGCTGTTGCACACTGAACAAATTCATTAGTCAATGCAATCTTGGTTCATCATTCACTCATTAACTAACCCGGATGAAAATAAAAAATAAAAAATAAAATAAAAAAATCAGGGATATTTTTCAAGCTTAGCATAATTAGAAACAAGATAAAAATAAATATCCTTTTTTATTATTACAAATATCCACATTCTTACAAGTCACCAAAAAATTTGATGGATACTGAGAGAGCATGAAAATATTCATAAATATTATACTTAATATTATTTATCTTCCTCATTTACTGGGCATACTTATAGGGATATACATGATACAGACTGTAATTTGGCTTGAATAGAACTTATGCTCATGTGGAATGTAAAAGTCGGATATTGAGTCCTAAGAGAATAGTGTATACCAATTGTCATGGTGTATTTTGTCCTTTAACTGCACAAAAAGTACTCAATGCTAGTCTCGTAAGTTAAGATTTTTGAAAATGATCTCATGAGCTCTGATATCGTTCTAAAATTGATTTTATAAGATTGTAATATTGCAGGACTCGTTGCTACCAAAATTGCACAAAATGTTAAATACGAGACAAAATTAGTTATAAAATTGTAGTTCCAAATTGCAATATAGAAACTCTCAAACTCTCTTATACTTGGACAAAAATTTTATGGAGCCATCAGATGGTTTTCTTATGGAGCCATCCACAGTTAATGTATTGACACCTGTCCAAATTGTATTTATTGTAGGACACGTGTCAATACACTATTAGTGAATAAGTGTGGATGACTCTATAAGTCGAGCCATAACAAAACTATATACTTGGAATACCATTGTGTAAGTAAACAAACTAATAATAAAAATATAATTGAGCTACACCTTATAGGTAGCTTTGGAATTCTTCCCTAACAGATGTGACAAATAACGATTTTGCAGAAAATAGTTATTATGTGGAATGGCTCACATAATTCAAGTAAGTAATTCTTACATCAATAACAACTCGGGCATATTGCAGGACCTCCTCTTCATTAGGTGCACCACTGTACTCTGCATAGTTACCAAGCTCGGATGCATACCCAAGATCTCCAACCTATAAAGTATCACAAGTCTCAGAAAATTCACCCCCAAAAGAAGGTGCGATTGGATATGCTTTCATTACAATGGTTTTTCATTCACTAGATTAAAGTGTTTGGAAATATATTTTGGGAAGATTTTAGGAAGAGAGATCCATGTGAGATGGAAATGTAATGAGTAATGTTGTTGCGATCTAAAAATAATAATGTGAGTAAATAAATAGTAAATGAGTGGGAGTTATATGCATGTGAGTAAATAACAAGTAAATCAAT